AAGACAAATTTTTCCCTTGAACTTCTTGCTGTTACAAAACCTGTCTCCTTGCGATGATGAGGAATGTGTGTAGACACACACTCCGTAAACTCGAGTAATTATTGTCTCGTTTTGGTTTTCGAGTCCCAAACACATGATGCCAGATATTAGAATACTACATTGTAACAGCTACGTGAGCAGGTAAAGAACCGAAAGTTTCGGATTGACTTTGATCGTGGAAACACTTCTTGTTAAAAATACAACTTTGTATGAACTTCTCCATCTTAAAGGCAAAAAGTGCTATTTGCAATATGATTGAAGTATGGAACTAATGACTCTAATCTGTTCTATAGAATTTTTCTTTACCTTACTAAAAGCTACTGGTAAAAAAGAAGCGATCCACAAAGCTACGGGCACTTAGATCTATTTCTCGACAGAACATCTGAAAGACAGAATAATATAGTGATAAAAGACTTCTAACTATCGACTATATAGCTTATGTCGGTTGATCCATGCCGTAAGCCTCTTATATAAGTCAAGATAAGCAAATTGATTTAGTCAAATGCGAGCCTGTCTTCAAGTGAAGTATTTGCTCTGAATGTATACGTAGATAATATTCGATAAAAAAAAATATATAATCATTATATCAGTCAAGTTTATTAATGCTTAAACGAAAACAAGGCTCTAGAATTTGTGCATGTGTAGGTATGAGAGTGATCTGTGGGCCTGTAAGAGTCGAATATGGACGCGGACGTATCGGTATGTGTGTGGGTTTTAGTGTGAAATCAGTGTGGAAACGAGACACCATGCCGACATTGCATCTAACACATCTAAACCAACACTCATATCCTACACCCACATATGAACACTTCAAAGCGTCAACATTGAATTCACCTCTATTTGTAAATTTTCAACATGGCAAAATTCACGCCAACATGTTATACTTTGATCTCAAAATACTTCGTCCGATGACCCAATGACATTAATTGGATGTGAAGTCATTGATCACACTGTGACATCGATATTTCGAATCTGTTGTTCACCGAGTATCGATTTCCTCTGAAATTGACATAAAACCATCATCAGCATGATTTTCGTCTCTAACATAACTCAATTGTGACCGATTCACATATATAGTCTGGCACCAAATGAATACAATATAATGAAATAAATTTCATTCAATCAGAACTGACTGAACATGTCCAATTCATACAAATAGTCCTTTTCAGATTTCAATTTATCAATCAATCGCAAGATAGTGTAGGCTATATCAATTAAAATTATATGTAAAAGATGAGAGCAACAAAGTATTGAGTTATTTTTGCTAAAGATTATTATTCTTTTCTATCGCAAAATGAACAATATTCTAAGACGAAAATCAGAATAACTCAAGTGTTGACATGATCTATCGCATTGATTGTCGAACGAGTCGATGTAGAGAATACAGAGAATGACTTCTATGAGATTCAATATCAAAGCAATCAGCATTGCTTCGATTTCGTTTTCCTGAAGAGTTATTCGCAAGTTTATATCAATAAAACGTATACTATACAAGTTCCATTGGAAAATGCAAGACAAATTGTAGAAAACAGCAATTATCCTGCTTTTTTTTTCTTATAAACAACTAGTATGTCAGTAATAATCTTGTCACAATTTGACTTTTCATATTTTTACATGCGTGATGAGATATCGATAGAGTAATGTTCACAACATATGTCTAACGAAAACACTCATTTGCAAAAACAAATGATTCATTTTATATAACATCGAAATCTCGATGTATTGACCATAACACGAATTATTACTTCTGAAATAAGTTGAGTAGCAAAACCGAAATAAAAATTAAATTTTTATCTGTTTTTTTTCTCTCCATTTATGTTGCTCTATCGATACATATCAAACGACAACATCATTCGTATTCAATATATGTTATACAGTTTTATTGTTTCCCATAAACAGAAATATTCTACACCATCATAATGTTGCTAAATGAACTTGTAGAACAAAAACATTACTTCCTTGATTGCGACCTCAAAGAACACCCTTTTTTTTAATAGCTGTTGACGAAGTACAATGTTGATCAGCAAAAGTCATTCATTACCTCATGTTGGACTGTTTATTTTTTGTTTTTGATGCATGTTATTTTAGCATTAGAGATGATGAAAAAAAGATGCTGATGGCAAAACGAACTTAATTAATTATACGCATTCTACGCAGCACTATGCAAACAGTACGATACTTATTTAAAATGCAGAAAGAAAACGAGGTAAACACGTTTGTATCAGATTAAAAATATAAAAATAACAGACTCATAAAGAAAGAAGACGACGAGATCGACAGAAAACGTCAATCTGAAAAAAATATTATATTGCATATTCATTTCGAAAAAGTCAATATAAAGTGAGTATATGTAAATATGAATTTCTATTCGTTAATACAATCAATGAATAGGTTTAGTACAAAATACCTCGAACGAACAGAAGAAAATTTATTTGTATATTGAGTATTTTACTAATAAAATAATTCAATGACATCGAGAGAGATATTTAATGATGCAAAAGAACAATTATAAATTTCGAAAATACATTCAGTTTCAAAGAAAAAAATACAATATATTTTAGGACTTGAGCTTGGATAAAAGACATGTTAGTTATTATCGATATAGATGAAGGTGTTAGTTTTTCGAATCTACATAATTAATGTTAATATTCTTAAAGAAGTGAACTAATTGTTATCTTTTGAATTAGAAAGATTCGATATTTGGTTTATAGCTCAAGGTTTTCAAAATCAGTTGTCATTTCAATTAGCAAATCATGATACGAAGAAAGCTAATAAATAATGATATCTACATTTATTTGTGACTGTAATGGTGATTTTGAAATCGTACAAAATATTAGCAACTTATTCGACAATTCTGAATACTACATAAAACTAGAATATTTTACTAAGCTGATGAAAACAGAAGTAGTTATTAAAAGGATATACGGATAAAAGCCGAACTGATGAACTTTCATGTCAAGAAATCTATACAGTTTTGAAAAATGTAAGAGACGAAGAGCCTAAGTCATATACTGAAATTAATCTTGGTAAACAAGTTGTCGAATGATTCGATTCGATTTCTGTCTTTGTTTAGTTCTACAAGAATGTATGAAGATTCTATTTTCAAAAAGAAATTAAGAAAAAACTAAACTCAAATTTTCTGTTAAGTATATATGTTCATGCTAAAATTAGCAAAACACATTCGATTGATATATTAT